GTTTATTAGAAATTATACCCAGTTTATTAGACAAAAAACAAGGGATGAAGCTTTCCAGCCTTTCCTTTCCTTCTTCTCCTTTGAATCTGTTACATCCCTTTTTGAAAAGGTTCAGTTTCCCCTGAATGTTAAAGAGACCACTTTCCTTGTATTTAATCTAGTAAACTTCCTCTATATAGTCTACAGCTCCTCTAGACTGAGGGCTAAGATGTCCAGAGTTAATAAATAAAAAGGTCTTTGTTCATCAAAACGAGCATTGAAGGAGATAAGAATTTGAACTGAGTAGGGAATCTCAAGATGTGTGAGGTGAAGGAGAAAGGGGGGGAAACAGCAAGTATTCTGCTTAAGAATTGTGCAGATGCAAGTAGCATAGAAGATTGTGTAACTAATTATATACAAGTTAACTTGTAGGCCAAGGACAATCTGCAAGGAAGATGAGGAGCCTTCATTCCTATGACCACCAAGGGCAGAAAAAAAGACCCCCTAGCAGCCAATTGCACCGGCGCAGAGTGCATCAACAGAAAATACATCAACTGGGAAAAAAAGGGACTATAAAAACAAAAAGGTCAAAGGGGGAAGGTGCGCCGTGGCAGAGCAGAGACTCCCCAGCCGCCCAGCGTTGTTCTTTTGCTTAATCCCGCTTGCTTAATAAATTCTTGTTAATTGATTTATCTATAATTAGCCTCCCCAAATGAATTTGTCCATAACAAATTAGGTGCTGTGACGTGGATAAGGGCGACCGGGTGGGAATTCCTAATCAGGGAGGTGCCCTGCTGCCTCTGCAGCAGCCCTGGTGCAGGCTTTGCATTCCCGGACCCTTACTGACGAACCTAAATTTGGTATTAAGCAAAAGGGATACCGGTAACCCCGTAATCTTTGTGCACGAAGCCCGGGCAAAGACGCAGGACAGCGTGAGTATAAAAGTGGGGATCCACTCGGTTGGAGTTGGGATCCCAAGACATAACACATGAGACGTCCTTTTAGGACGAGGCAAGTGCAGACCTCTAAGTAGTGCAGTTTCCAGACCCCGAGAGGGGCTGGGCCACGAACAGGGGGCCGCGAGTGTGTGTGTGCGTGAAGGTGTCCTGGAAGACGGGACAGAGGAAAAGCAAGCCCTCTGCTTCCATGGGGAGGAGGACCCCGCTGAAGCTTCCCCAGATACCACCTGACAGTCCGTTAGGTCTAATGATAAAATCTTGGGATGAATATCCTTCAAGAAAAGGGAAGGATAAGGCAACAATGATACATTATTGTATAAAAGTATGGGGAGGGAAACAAATCCGTAGTGATAATTTATTTTGGCCAGTGTTTGGAAGCTTTAAGGACTGGATTTACCAGGCATTAAACATTTATGTAAACTCTAAAGAACCTTTTGATATGGAAGAGAGCAAGTATGCTGCTCTCTGGATAGTGGGGGAAACAAGAGCAAAACTTTTTGCCTTAAGCACCCAGGGAGGGAAAAAGAAAAATAAAAAGCCTGAGGAAGTTCCAACTGCACCCCCTCTACCATACGTACCTCCCCCTCCTCCACCCCCACCAGCACCACCAGCAGTCTACCTCGATTTGGATCAAGGGGGAGATTTTGATAACCAAGAGATAAAAATCGCAGAGCCGGTCCCTGAGAAAAATCGCCGCGTTACTCGTAGCCTAACAAGGGGGGAAAGAGAAAGGGAAGGGCAAGCTCTGTATCTATTAAGGGAAGTAGCTTTGGGAATAACCCCTAACCCCAGTGCTGGTCAGCAGGGACACCCAGCCCAAATTCTGGGAATAGGTTATATGGAGGTACCTCTTAACTCAGGAGATGTGATGGAGTTCAAGAAAGAAATGGGAGCATATGGGCCAAATCTTAAAGGAATTTTCTGACCCTATAGCCTGGGACTTCCCATGTGAACAAATTCAGAATCCAGCTGAGGTGGCAGAGTACCTGAAAGAGAAATGCCATGGTAAGTCTAAGGATGAAAAAGATCATTGCAGCGAGCTGGGCCCTGGCATATGCTTATCGCACCCTGCTAGATACTTTAGGGCAGCAGACAGAGGAAGGGGGGCAGGGAGATAAATCAGCAGCTATCCCAGTCACTCAGGCTGCAGCCAACAGCCCAAGCTCGAAGCCAGCAGCTAAACCAGACTGTGAGCCTAAGCTTGGAGCTAAACCAGACTGTAAGCCTCAACCAGTGCCTGTTGCTACGAGCACAATGGGCCAGTGATACCTCAGGCCATCAGGGCAGAGATGCCACCTGTAAGTGGGCACAAGACCAAGGGGTGGATCTAACCACGGACAGTATTTCTCAGGTGATCCATGACTGTGAGATATGTGCTACCATCAAACAGGCCAAGCAGGTGAAGCCCCTCTGGTATGGTGGGCGGTGGTCCAAGTACAAGTATGGGGAGGCCTGGCAGGTTGACTACATCACACTGCCCCAGACACGCCAAGGCAAGCACTACGTGCTCACAATGGTAGAAACCACCACTGGATAGCTGGAAACCTACCCTGTGTCTCATGCTACAGCCCGTAACACCATCCTGGGCCTTGAAAAGCAGGTCCTTTGGAGGCATGGTAGCCCTTAGAGGATTGAGTCAGACAATGGGACTCATGTCAAGAACAGCCTTATCAACACCTGGGCTAGGGAACATGGTGTTGAGTGGGTGTACCATATCCCTTACCATGCACCAGCTGCAGGCAAAGTGGAGAGGTACAATGGACTGTTAAAAACCACCTTGAAAGCATTGGGTGGGGGATCTTTCAAAAATTGGGAGCAGCATTTAGAAAAGGCCTTCAGGTTTGTTAACAGCCAAGGTTCCACCAATTGAGCAGGTCCTGCCCAGTCTGAGCCCCTGAATATAGTAGACGGAGATAAAGTCCCAGTGGCACATGTCAGAGGTTTGTTAGGGAAATCACTGTGGATCAATTCTGCCTCGAGTACAGACAAACCCATTCATGGGATTGTCTTTGCTCAGGGACCAGGTTGTACTTGGTGGATAATGCAGAGAGATGGAACAACACGATGTGTACCTCAGGGAGATCTGATTGTGGGGTGAAACTATTGTGCAAATATCACTGTTTGCTGGATGTTACTGCCAGTGTCTGTACATGAAAACACACAGACATGAGACAGAAGGAAATGTGTAGGTGTCAAAGGTTTGAGCAAGTGAAATAGAAGGAAATGTGTAAGTGCCGAAGGTTTGAGTAAGTGAGATGGAAGGAAGTGTGTATAAGTAAGTGAAAGATGGAAGTTTTAACTTGAAGTTTTTACATGATGTTGACGATATGGAGATAAGGGGTGGAATGTCCTAGGGTGACAACGTTATGATATTTTTATCCCCAATCGTGTGTTCTGTTTATGTTTAATATTATGTTCTGTGTTTTCAGAACTGACTCAGAAAGTGAAGGTTTGTTTTGTCTTATTATCAGCCAACCCACCTCCCCCCTATCCCCGTGGTCTGTTGTCTAGAAGAGGCTGGTGCTGGCTGGCTTGCTTTTGCATTGCTTGCTGGGTTTT